ATAAAAAAATCTCGTTGTAGGGCCCTAATACTCAGTCGTATTAAACTGACGGTTCTTTCACCAAATWAAGAGAGTCACAGTCAAAGGTTCAATCAGAACAGAGCAGGGCGGGTCGTGCCGTCTGACTGACAGAGCTGCCTTTTCTTTTTCTCTGTGGGTGGGGGCTCAGTTTCCCTCAGCTCAGGTGAACACCTCCAGGGAAAGCCCTCCGCGTTTCTTGGACTATTTTCCACCGAAGATTATGTCATATTTTAAATATATTTCTAAAAGCATCTCGCAGCATTTCCTCTGYAACACCGTGTGTACACAAGCACAACCAAACCACGGCAGATCACCTGACTGTAAAGCAGTGACTAGGCAGTGACTAGGACTGTCACGATTAGTCGATGACTAATTAAAATAATCGATGACTAATTTAATAATCAATTAATCATTTTCTTTTTTTTTGTTCTTTGTTTTTCTCTCCAAACTGCTTTGACACCTTCCACTGCCACATCTGCCTTTCTGTCCTTAACACACATGCACAGTAGTGGTAACCAGTGTAGGCCGTGGACGTCACAAGACATTATACAGACAGGCTCTGGTATCATGGCTACCTGGCACCAGAACTCAAAAGTGTGGGATCATTTTAAGAAAATGAAAGAGAAACCTGTGCAATATCTGCAAGGCAGAACGTGCCTTCCACAGCAATTATTTTTAGTTAGCATATAGCTAAAATCTAACCATGGTTATATAATAGCAGCTTCATTCTAGAGAGATAAGCTGTATGTTTTATATTCAATTAACGTATGATCCGATTAGTCGACTAATCTAAAAAATAATAATAATCGGTGATCAATTAACGTATGATCCGATTAGTCGACTAATCTAAAAAATAATAATAATCGGTGATCAATTAACGTATGATCCGATTAGTCGACTAATCTAAAAAATAATAATAATCGGTGATTAGTCGATTATAAAAATAATCGTTTGTGGCAGCCCTAGCAGTGACAGCAGCTCTTTACGTACAGCACAGCTCCAACCAGCCCAGGACTTCAGAGTCCATACATGTCAACCCCTTCAAACGGTTACCTGTATAGTGAGCATCAAAAATCTGTAATTTGCACAAAAAAAATCAGTATTAATCACACACGGATGGGGTGGCGGTGCGAACCGACCACAGCCGAGCGAGGTGGGGATGGGAGGGGTCTTCTAACAAAGTCGTGTCTACGTTTGACTTATTGTTTTCTAGAATCACAGAGGTCTCTGATTCAGCTTCAGGTGTTTGTAGGTAATCATTATTTCTTCTCAATTTAACCAGGTGTTTCAATACCTTTAAATTACACAGTAATTTTACCAGAGAAACTGTCAGTTTGGTTTAAAAAAATAGTAAAAATAATTGTTTTTTCTGTGCAGAGAATTTCTTGTGATACAATTTTTTCAAATAAATATATCAAAGCTCCTCAGTTGAAAACACTAAAATGATAGAAATGGTGTTTAAAAACCTCTTTCCTCAGAAAGTCTTCGGTCCTAAGAACACTTTTAATAAGGTCATGTACATAGTATACTCCTAAATAAAAATGTTTGACCTGTAAGC